CCAGCACAGGGGTATACCTGTTAGTTATATAATATGACACTCCTACACCGGGATATGCATGTTGGTTATATCTTATGACTCTCCTGCACCGGGATATGCATGTTAGTTATATAATAAGACACTCCTACACCGGGATATGCATGTTAGTTATATAATAAGACACTCCTACACCGGGATATGACTGTTAGTTATATAATATGACACTCCTACACCGGGATATGCATGTTAGTTATATAATATGACACTCCTACACCGGGACATGCATGTTAGTTATATAATAAGACACTCCTACATGGGGAGGTCATATCCCATTTGTCAGATACCTCATTTCGTAGATAGTGAAGTGGAGATGGCTTGTCATAACATATTGAATTTACCTGTTGTGGTAATGACCAGTCCTAATCAGATTCACCCTCTGTATAGTTAAGATCAAATTAACACTTACGTTTGAATTTAATGGGTAAAATAATTGATCTCCGGAATTAAACATATTTATTTTCACATACATATTAAAATGGTTTGGTAAACAATTGATACAATAGGATTATATATTGCTATATTTTCTAAAGAACCATTTGATCATGGCAGGTTTGCAGAAAAGTGACATCGCAGAGAGATACGCCCCAGGTACACTTTCAACATCACCTCCGCAGCAAGGCAAGACCATATTAGTTGATGCTACCAAACTTGGCAATATTGACACATGCTTTCATCACAAAATGAATCTATAAATATATTTGCCTTGGCATGACAATTATAACCTATGTTAAATAACGTTTATAAAAAAATATTCAGTATCGATGTTTGCACGATATTAATCTGTTGAACAAAAGGAAAGAAGATAAGAAATCAAACTATAAATGTCATTAACATATATATCTTAATTAGTTATTAATATAACTTATAATATAGGACACTCCTACACCGGGATACACACATAACTTATAATATAGGACACTCCTACACCGGGATACACACATAACTTATAATATAGGACACTACCCCGGGATACAAACATAACTTATAATTTAGGACACTCCTACACCGGGATACACCCATAACTTATAATATAGGACACTCCTACACCGGGATACACACATAACTTATAATATAGGACACTCCTACACCGGGATAAACATATTTCTTTTACTATATAAAACTCCTGTACATTGTATAATATAGGACATTCCTTCACCGGATACACAAATCACTAAAAATATATTATTGTCACAATGTTGGAGCATATTTTAACAACAACGACAATGATTTATTATGTGACAGTCGGTTATACCTGTAGTATAACTTTGTAACTTTAGTCATCTGAACCAAACTACCTCTTCATTTGCAAAATGTCTTGGTGGAAGAACGGTCAAACAACAGGACATTTTATTCGGCGTCAAATTTCGATAAAATTCCGAGGTCTTTCAACTGGGATAGGATTTTAGAGTTGATAACACTAAGTAATACTAAAATATCAACCAGTTATATTAACAGTAAATATGGCGTTGGCACCACCAGACATATGGGTAACTTAAGATTGTTCACTGATTTTTTAATCGCGATGGTGACATTACACGTGGAATTGATGTGCAAGATGGGCATATCAGGAATGGCTTGGGGTATTTCCTGAACATATATTGCACATACACTTCTGCTGTAACAGGAAATATTCATGGAATATTATAAAATGATATGATGGGAACATTGTTAATAGCCATCAATCTGTCGTGCAACCTGTGACAATCATCAATCAATGCTGAAACCTGTAATAGTCACCAATCTATACTGCAACCTGTAATAGTCATCAATCAATACTGTAACCTGTACTAGTTATCAATTTATTCTGTATCCTGTAATAGTCAACAATCTATACTGTAATCTGTTATCGTCACCAATCTATACTGTAACTTGTAATCGTCATCAATCAATACTGAAGCCTGTAATATTCATCAATCTGTACGGAAGCCTGTAATAGTCTTCAATCAATACTGTAACTTGTAATCGTCATCAATCAATACTGAAACCTGTAATAGTCATCAATCTGTACGGAAGCCTGTAATAGTCTTCAATCAATACTGTAACCTGTACTAGTTATCAATTTATTCTGTAACCGGTAATAGTCACCAATCTATACTGTAATCTGTAATCGTCACCAATCTATACTGTAACTTGTAATCGTCACCAATCTGTATTGAAGCCTGTAATAGTCTTCAATCAATACTGTAACCTGTAATAGTCATCCATCAATACTGTAACCTGTAATAGTCATCAATCTATACTGTAACCTGTAATAGTTATCAATCTATACTGAAGCCTGTAATAGTCATGAATCTGTACGGAAGCCTGTAATAGTCATCAATCAATACTAAAACCTGTAATCGTCACCAATCTATACTGTAATCTGTAATCGTCACCAATCTATACTGTAACTTGTAATCGTCATCAATCAATACTGAAACCTGTAATAGTCATGAATCTGTACGGAAGCCTGTAATAGTCATCCATCAATACTGAAACCTGTAATAGTCATGAATCTGTACGGAAGCCTGTAATAGTCATCAATCAATACTGAAACCTGTAATAGTCATGAATCTGTACGGAAGCCTGTAATAGTCATCAATCAATACTGAAACCTGTTATAGTCATGAATCTGTACGGAAGCCGGTAATAGCCACCCATCAATACTGAAACCTGTAATAGTCATCAATCTATACTGTAACTTGTAATAGTCATCAATCTATACTGAAGCCTGTAATAGTCATTAATCTATACTGAAGCCTGTAATAGTCATCAATCAATACTAAAACCTGTAATAGTCATCCATCAATACTGTAACTTGTAATAGTCATCAATAAATACTGAAACCTGTAATAGTCATCAATCTATACTGAAGACTGTAATAGTCATCCATCAATACTGTAACTTGTAATAGTCATCAATAAATACTGAAACCTGTAATAGTCATCAATCTATACTGAAGACTGTAATAGTCATCAATCAATACTGTAACCTGTGATAGTCATCAGTCTATACTGAAACCTGTAATAGTCATCATTCTATACTGAAGCCTGTAATAGTCATCAATCTATACTGAAGACTGTAATAGTCATCAATCAATACTGTAACCTGTGATAGTCATCAGTCTATACTGAAACCTGTTATGGTCATCATTCTATACTGAAGCCTGTAATAGTCATCAATCTATACTGTAACTTGTAATAGTCATCAATCTATACTGAAGCCTGTAATAGTCATTAATCAATACTGAAGACTGTAATAGTCATCAATCAATACTGTAACCTGTGATAGTCATCAGTCTATACTGAAACCTGTAATAGTCATCATTCTATACTGAAGCCTGTAATAGTCATCAATCTATACTGAAGACTGTAATAGTCATCAATCAATACTGTAACCTGTGATAGACATCAGTCTATACTGAAACCTGTTATGGTCATCATTCTATACTGAAGCCTGTAATAGTCATCAGTCTATACTGAAGACTGTAATAGTCATCCATCAATACTGTAACCTGTAATAGTCATCAGTCTATACTGTAACCTGTAATAGTCATCAGTCTATACTGTAACCTGTAATAGTCATCAGTCTATACTGAAACCTGTCATAGTCATCAATCTATACTGTAACTTGTAATATTCATCTATCAATACTGTAACCTCTAATAGTCATCAGTCTATACTGTAACCTGTAATAGTCATCCATCAATACAGAAACCTGTAATAGTCATCCATAAATACTGTAACCTGTAATAGTCATCCATCAGTACTGTAACATGTTATAGTCATCCATCAATACTGTAACCTGTAATAGTCATCAATCAATACTGTACCCTGTAATAGTCATCAGTATTTACTGAAACCTGTAATAGTCATCATTCTATACTGAAGCCTGTAATAGTCAGGCATCAATACTGTAACCTGTAATAGTCATCAATCAATACTGAAGCCTGTAATAGTCATCAATCTATACTGAAGACTGTAATAGTCATCCATCAATACTGTAACCTGTAATCGTCATCAATCAATACTGTAATCTGTTATAGTCATCAATCAATATTGTAACCTGTAATCGTCATCAATCTATACTGAAACCTGTAATAGTCATCAATCAATACTGTAACCTGTAATCGTCATCAATCTATACTGAAACCTGTAATAGTCATCAATCTATACTGTTACCTGTAATAGCCATTAATCAATACTGTTACCTGTAATAGTCATTAATCTATATTGTTACCTGTAATAGTCATCAATCTTAATGTTACCTGTAAGAGTCATCAATCTATACTGTAACCTGTAATAGTCATCAATCTATACTGTTACCTTTAATAGTCATCAATCTATACTGTTACCTGTAATAGTCACCAATATGTAGTGTAACCTGTTATAGTCGTCAGTAGATGTCCAGGTTGATTCTATCTTCACCTTTATAGAAGCCTAGATAATGGTTCAGTTCGCTGGGTATATGTGAAAACCATTGAGGGTAGTGCAAAAGAACACAACACATACAAGTGTACCCGCGAAACACACATAATCAACCAGTTCAAATATATGTAACGCCTTTAAAATGTGTTACCTCAAACACACACATTTATAGCGGCTAGGATTAGTTCCCTTTGTTGGCATTCTTTTGTGTAGGAGAAGTAAAAGCGCAGTTCAGCTGCTTGTGAATACCTCTCCAGATAATAGTTATGTAAAATGTTGGATTTTTATTAAGGTACGAGCTCTGAATTATTACTAAAAGTTGTATAATGAAGCACATGATTGAGGGGCAGCTCTACGTGTAACCAATAAAACCGTCCTTGTCGCCTAGCGCTGGTTGGGCGGATGTGATAAGATTGTTCTCAAGTAATGGGGGAGTAGACTAACATCCTACCTAACATCAAATTGTATTTTGTTACCCAGATTCATTGGAAACATAAATCTTCATTCAATACATTTTTGCGAAAACTTCATATTTCAAATGTGACAAAGCAAGGCTTTAATAGAAATAACAAATTTATTCCACTTATCCGTGACCTCAGGACTATAAGTTCCATCCCCGTAAAAGTTTACAACAAAACATAACATTGCACTGAATTGTAACAAGTCAACATCGTGTCTCCATAGCTTGAAACAGTCAGGTAGCACAAAACTGCTTTGATCCTTTACAACTTCTTTATGTTCTTGGGTCCAGTAGACAGCAGCATCACCTCGTGTTCAAACCGCAGAAGACCGCAGTCTCGATTAGTGTTCAGCATTCCGCAGACTGCAGTCTCGATTAGTGTTCAGCACACCGTAAACTGCAGTCTCGATTAGTGTTCAGCACTCGGTAGACCACAGACTCCAAAATAGAGTCCCCAGGTGATGGTCTGTGGATAAACTCGTTCAAGTCGGTAATGAATATCGGGCGTTTTGTTGCAGAGATGGTAATCAGCTGACACTAGCGTTCACTTGTAACATTATTGAACACCTCAAACTCATTTCACAATGATGCATTAGCATACATAAGGTTTGCTGACAACGAAAAGTTGACAACATTTTGGCTGGAATGAAATTGAAACCTGAGCAAATAATATAACAAAAGACTCTTTTCTTTGAAATAATAACATTCCTATTCACGTATTAGTCTTCTTGAAGTTCTGGATAGTGAAGCTGGCAGACGGATCTTTCCCTTTCTCCACTATTTGCATGTTGCAGACAGTATATCATATGTCAAGAGTCGAGTCAAGAAGTCCTGAACAATCTGCTTCCGTTTGAATTTTGTTTTTTCTTGGATCTTCTGGTGTCCAAATTTTGGCGACCATTATATTGTTTGGTCCTATGTGGGGTTTCTTGTCGTCGGTCCAGGACAAGGAGTGCCCCGCTACAGGAGGGAGGCCGTATTGTTCTTCCTCTTCGTGTATCCCTGATGGAGAAACAATGAGAATGTAGACAAGTTAATGAACTGACGGACACATCCTAGTAAAACAACCTAAAACAACTCGCGGACACATCATACCACTTAATATGCAACCTAAAACAACTCGCGGGCATATCATACAACCCAATATACCACCTAAAACAACTCGCGGACATGTCATACTGCCTAATATACCACCTAAAACAACTCGCGGTCGTGTCATACTACCTAATAAACCACATAAAACAACTCGCGGACACATCATACCACTTGATATGCAACCTAAAACAACTCGCGGACACATCATACTACCTAATATACCAACTGAAACAACTCGCGGGCACATCATACTACCCAATATACCACCTCAAACAACTCGCGGACCTGTCATATTACCTAATATACCACCTCAAACAACTCGCGGACCTGTCCTATTACCCAATATATCACCTTAAACAACTCGCGGACATGTCATACTAACTAATATACCACCTACAACAACTCTCGAACATGTCATACTACCTAATATACCACGTAAAACAACTCGTGGACACGTATTACAACCTAATAAACCATCTAAAACAACTCGCGGTCGTGTCATACTACCTAATAAACCACATAAAACAACTCGCGGACACATCATACCACTTGATATGCAACCTAAAACAACTCGCGGACACATCATACTACCTAATATACCAACTGAAACAACTCGCGGACACATCATACTACCTAATATACCATCTAAAACAACTCGCGGGCATGTCATACTACCCAATATACCACGTAAAACAACTCGAGGAGATGTATTTCTACATAATATACCAACTAAAACAACTCGCGGACACATCATACTACCCAATATACCACCTAAAACAACTCGCGGACATGTCATACTACCTAATATACCACGTAAAACAACTCGCGGACATGTCATACTACCTAATATACCACGTAAAACAACTCGCGGACATGTCATACTACCTAATATACCACGTAAAACAACTCGCGGACATGTCGCACTACTTAATATACCACCTACAACAATAGCCACCCCTGGCGGTGAGGTGTGACGACAGGAAGCCAGCAGTACGTTGAATCATGTTAACACCGGGTCCGCAATATTAAGCCAGCCCCAGAGTGTTAATGAATAATGATGACCACTTAAACAACCCACATACAAACTCGTTACAAAAGTTCAAAGTGTAGGGTGTGTATCACGTGACTTGTTGTCTACCTGCCGAGAGAGGGAGAGAGAGCCAGGGCGTTCTTTGTCCCCGCGGGAGGAACAATGTATCTTACATTCAGTCTGCCGGAGCAACATATAATTAGCACATTGGATACTTTTTATTGGCTGAAACGTGACGCTAGATTAGGGAAATGAGGTCCAGAGTAGGGTTCATGTTTCTTAGTGAGTCGACTTCAAAGTTGAGGAGCGTAGAGCAGTGGTTGTTAGTAAAAGGCCAGCGGTAAAGATGCGTGATTTTGACGCTGAAGAAAATAAAGGGGCAGTGTGAGACGTCTTTAGTTAGGAGTACTTTACAGAAGCATCGGTAACTGCCACACCACTGTCGGAAGGTTACCGGAGACAGGTTTATATTTGTATCGAAGGACCGGATACTGAGTACAGTATTTTGTCAGGATAAACAAATGTTTGCTTACAAGCTTGGTCAGTGGACTGGATATGCAGTTAGTAGAGTCAAGTGGCGTGTGTTTGGAGGAGTGTCTGTAAATACATCATATTCCGCGTAAATAACTGATTAGTTGAATCACTGGCCAGAAAGTCTCGATACAAATGTGCATTTGGCATTTTATAATAGACTTGAATTTTCAAAGATTACTCAGATTGTACACTGACTACAAATCCTAACTGTATCAACGGAGAGAATGAATTAGTATATGGACAAAGCCAGACGTCATTGTAATTCTACCTGTTACACTTTTTATATAATATTTTTCTAACCTCTATCTCACCTTAACCAGGGAAGGCATGTAATTAAAACGTTTCAAGGCACTTGAAACACGCTGGCAAATAATGTCACGAGCCATGTGCAACTGTCAGTGAACTATGTGCAATAAACGAGATATTAATTTGATTGACAAGTAGATGTTTATAGCAGCGTACAGAGTAATGTCTGCACGTCTAGGAGGGTTATCAGACGTAATCGCCCTGTCTGCTAGCAGGTATATCCAGGCAGACAGTGTCATTTGTGTGGTGCACTATCAGCTCTGTTTGTGGAGAAGTGTTAATCAAGCCTTACTAATGAATGAATGACTATGGTTTTACGCCGCTTTCAGCAATATTCCAGCAATATCACGGCGGGCGACACCAGAATGGGCTTCACACATAATACCCATATGCCACATCGAACCCGGGCATTCGGCGTGACGCGCGAACGTTTAAACCAAAAGGCTACCCCACCGCCCTGAATAAATGAATGAATGAATGAATGAGAACGTAATTTGCTTTTCTTGTTTACTTATTTGTACTTTTTATATTGTAAATTTAAGAGTGGCTGAGGATTTTGTAAAATAAATAAATAAATAAATAAATAAATAAATAAATAAATAAATAAATAAATAAATAAATAAATAAATAAATATAAACTTCAATAGTCATGATTAAGCCAATCATTGATGGATGGTAGGAAAGCATACACAATTTTCCGCACGAAGCAGGAAGGGGGAGGGGTCCCGCTATGCAGAAACTCGCCCTTTAACGCCCTGTTCCCCGTCACTGGTAAAGGGTGCTCTGAAATATAATGCCCTTCCACCCTGAATTAATAGGGGTCTAATTTGCCGTTAAAACCGTTCGTATTTATTCATATCGTCTGAGCATCGGTCGGTTCACACCCGAGACAATCTCTCTCCTCCAGATGACGGGCACGTTGAAGTACTGTATTGAATACATCTTCCCCAATAGCCAAGTCTTAATTGTAAAGAACGACTAAATGAAATCTTCAATACTTGTTATATTGGAACTATTTAATAATTCAAAGCGTGATTCTATGCGTGTAATAATTGTAGTTTTAAATAGATTGTCTTCCGTGGCTCGTTGACAAGGGTAGAAAGGCTCGTACACATGCCAAACCATTTGGTGTTTGACATCAGCAGAATAGAAACAAAATGATACATGATGCGTGTAGCTAGTATCATCATATATCACATGATACGTGTAGCTAGTATCATCATATATCACATGATACGTGTAGCTAGTATCATCATATATCACATGATACGTGTAGCTAGTATCATCATATATCACATGATGCGTGTAGCTAGTATCATCATATATCACATGATACGTGTAGCTAGTATCATCATATATCACATGATACTTGTAGCTAGTATCATCATATATCACATGATACGTGTAGCTAGTATCATCATATATCACATGATACGTGTAGCTAGTATCATCATATATCACATGATACGTGTAGCTAGTATCATCATATATCACTTGATACGTGTAGCTAGTATCATCATATATCACATGATACGTGTAGCTAGTATCATCATATATCACATGATACGTGTAGCTAGTATCATCATATATCACATGATACGTGTAGCTAGTATCATCATATATCACATGATACGTGTAGCTAGTATCATCATATATCACATGATACGTGTAGCTAGTATCATCATATATCACATGATACGAGTAGCTAGTATCATCATATATCACATGATACTTGTAGCTAGTATCATCATATATCACATGATATAGCGTGTAGCTAGTATCCCCATATATCACATGATACGTGTAGCTAGTATCATCATATATCACATTATACGTATAGCTAGCATCATAATATATCACGCGATACTTGTAGCTAGTATCATCATACATAACGAGGTGTGTGTGAGGGCGGGGTTGGGGTGGGGCGGTACTGTTGTTTTGAACAGGTTGTTGGGGAATGGACTGTATTGTATCATAAATTAGCGTATACGTACCTAATGATGCCTTTGGTATTTGTGTTAATTGTGTTGTACATATATAACCAAATAAGTTTGAAAAAGATCCGCATATGACATGATACTTATATCTAGTGCCAGAATATAACATGCCGGTGTGTCCTAACGAAATATCATATAAACGTAGGGTTGCCATCATTGTCATAAGAAGTGCAATGACAGGTGAAGCAGATAAACGGGCGTTGAAAGCTTGATGTTCGAGCCTTTAAACTGGCCATTAGTGAAAGTTGTAAGACAAATCTTTTACTATATGTATCGATGCGCCTAGGACATGCTGCATCGTGTGTTCTCTGCACCACACAGGTGCGACATTAAAACGGGAGACTACATACCTCTATGACAGTGGATGATCACTTTCTTCGGTTGCTCTCCGATATGGTTGCTGATATTTTCCTTAGTTTGAGAGTCGGTTTGCACAAGCTCTGAGAGGAAACTGATATAGCCAATTGCTAATCTGAGAGTATCTACTTTAGATAATCGTTTCTCATACGGCAAAGTAGGAATATGTTCACGCAGTCCCTCAAACGCATCATTTATAGATTGCATCCGCCTCCTTTCTCTCAGGTTTGCAGCTTGTCTTTGCTGTACTTGTTGCTGGATACATTTTCTTTTCTTTTTCCTGTGTTTGCCAATATTTTCTTGATCGGAATTGGGAGAGCTAAAATCAGACTGACTGTCATAAGGGCTCACAGATCCGGAAGCTGGGTAAACACCAAAATCAAAATTTGCCAAAATTTGATGTTGGATAAAACCGTTATGTGTGGTGGTCATCTTGAGCTAGGTTTTACATTTAACCGAAGCTAGTAAAGGATGAAGGTAATGCTAAAGTACCCTCCTCTTGGGCTGCTGCTGCTCACATCACTTTGGCTGCCATATTGTCGGAGGAATCCTTTTATGCCTTTAGCCAGTAACTTTGGCAAAAGGCTTTGCTGATTATTACTTCCTATTCTTTCTACATTTGCTGTGACTATTCGTCCAGTGAGAGGATTTTCTTTCTGTCTACTAGTTGTCAATTTCTCTCGTTTTTATCAGCTGACCGTAAATATGCAACCCGTCTGTCAATCATTCAATAAGCCAATCAGAATACAAGCCTGAGCCGGCAGCGCGGCACGTGCCTGAGACCAGCAAATTACCACAACGAGAGCTTATGGTTATAGCAGGACCGACTTCAATTGAAAATCGATAAGGAAGCGGAAATGAAAATAATAACAAAACATTATACATATAAAATTACAACCATTTGTGGTAGAAATTTTAAGTAGCATATTCCGTTTACTTACAGATATTCAGAATCCAATTATTCAGCTTTGGGTATTTCATAATTATTAATAGCGTCTTCATGAACTAATTGTTTTGACAAGTAACTAAGTCACGGTGTCCTATGCCCGTGGGTCTTTCTCTCTGCATACTGATTTCTAATGAACATTTAAGGCACGTTTGGTGCAAACTGCATGGCGATCCTTCGTGTACATTGAGCATAGACACTCTCGAACAATGGGCCGCATAGCACTCAGGAGTTTTAAATAGTACACGTTTGGGTATGTTGATAGATATCTCAACGAAGACGGTGTTACGGTGTTCCATCAAACTGGTTTATGGAGATAAAAATGAAGTTTTGCTCGCGTTACTCACTCATTACTCTAAACTTCAAGAAGTGTTCAAGTTAAAACGGGACAACGGACTACACCATGCACAGGAGTTCATGTCCCGACCCCGACAATGTCGTCATCGACTGCCTTCACAACAGGGCACAGTAGCCAATGTTGCCATCACCTTCCTTCACAACAGGGCACAGTAGCCAATGTCGTCATCACCTTCCTTCACAACGGCACAGTAGCCAATGTCGTCATCACCTTCCTTCACAACAGGGCACAGTAGCCAATGTCGTCATCACCTTCCTTCACAACAGGGCACAGTAGCCAATGTCGTCATCGCCTTCCTTCACAACAGGGCACAGTAGCCAATGTCGTCATCGCCTTCCTTCACAACAGGGCACAGTAGCCAATGTCGTCATCGCTTTCCTTCACAACAGGGCACAGTAGCCAATGTCGTCATCACCTTCCTTCCCAACCGTGCACAGTAGCCAATGTCGTCATCACCTTCCTTCCCAACCGTGCACAGTAGCCAATGTCGTCATCACCTTCCTTCCCAACCGTGCACAGTAGCCAATGTCGTCATCACCTTCCTCCACAACAGGGCACAGTAGCCAATGTCGTCATCACCTTCCTCCACAACAGGGCACAGTAGCCAATGTCGTCATCACCTTCCTTCACAACAGGGCACAGTAGCCAATGTCGTCATCACCTTCCTTCCCAACCGTGCACAGTAGCCAATGTTGCCATCACCTTCCTTCACAACAGGGCACAGTAGCCAATGTCGTCATCACCTTCCTTCACAACGGCACAGTAGCCAATGTCGTCATCACCTTCCTTCACAACAGGGCACAGTAGCCAATGTCGTCATCACCTTCCTTCACAACAGGGCACAGTAGCCAATGTCGTCATCGCCTTCCTTCACAACAGGGCACAGTAGCCAATGTCGTCATCGCCTTCCTTCACAACAGGGCACAGTAGCCAATGTCGTCATCGCTTTCCTTCACAACAGGGCACAGTAGCCAATGTCGTCATCGCCTTCCTTCACAACAGGGCACAGTAGCCAATGTCGTCATCGCCTTCCTTCACAACAGGGCACAGTAGCCAATGTCGTCATCGCTTTCCTTCACAACAGGGCACAGTAGCCAATGTCGTCATCACCTTCCTTCCCAACCGTGCACAGTAGCCAATGTCGTCATCACCTTCCTTCCCAACCGTGCACAGTAGCCAATGTCGTCATCACCTTCCTTCCCAACCGTGCACAGTAGCCAATGTCGTCATCACCTTCCTCCACAACAGGGCACAGTAGCCAATGTCGTCATCACCTTCCTTCACAACAGGGCACAGTAGCCAATGTCGTCATCACCTTCCTTCCCAACCGTGCACAGTAGCCAATGTCGTCATCACCTTCCTCCACAACAGGGCACAGTAGCCAATGTCGTCATCACCTTCCTTCACAACAGGGCACAGTAGCCAATGTCGTCATCACCTTCCTTCCCAACCGTGCACAGTAGCCAATGTCGTCATCACCTTCCTCCACAACAGGGCACAGTAGCCAATGTCGTCATCACCTTCCTTCACAACAGGGCACAGTAGCCAATGTCGTCATCACCTTCCTCCACAACAGGGCACAGTAGCCAAGAGTAGTCTATGGCTATCACCCGAACCTCCTTTCACATCAAGCACAGAAGCACATGTCACCATCCTGACCCGCCCACTCCATCCCCTGGTGTAAAATATTATCTACTTTCACCGCTTATGTTTCTGATATGACCACTAATGCTGACAATACAACTAATTTTGGTAGAACACCTAATGACCACTAATGTTGATATGACCACGAAAACTGGAAGGACCACCAATATTGATATGACCACTGGTGCTTTTAGGACCACTAATATTGATATGACCACTTATAATGATATGACCACTCATGTTGATATGATTACAAATGCTGATATGACAACTCATATTGATATGACCACAAATGTTTACATGACCACTAATGCTTGTAGGACCACTAATATTGATATGGCCACTAAGGTTGATATGACCACTCATATTGATATGACTACTAATACTTGTAGGACCACAAATGCTTGTAGGACCACTAATATTGATATGAACACTAATGTTGATATGACCACAAATGCTGATATGACAACTAATATTCATATGACCACTAATCTTGATATGACCACTAATGCTGGTAGGACCACTAATATTGATATGAACACTAATGTTGATATGACAACTAATGTTGATATGACCACTAATGCTGGTAGGACCATTCATATTGATATGACCACTAATGTTGATATGACCACTAATGCTAGTAGGATCACTAATATTGATATGACCACTAATGTTGATATGACCACTAATGTTGATATGACCACTTATGCTGGTAGGACCACCAATATTGATATGACCACTAATATTGATATGACCATTAATGTTGATATGACCACTAATGCTGGTAGGACCACTAATGCTTACTAATGTTTAGTACACGTCGTTCATTTAAGCATTTGAGCTGAACCAGCGGTTGTGCTTTGTAACAGAAATACTGCACTGCTGTTTGTTTATCTGGTCAGGGCCGCCGTGCCCAGTGAGTTGCTGGTCACTGTCACGTTGACAGACACAAATGTGTTTGGGGAGTCGGGATTGGCTTAATCTCAACGTTTACACTGTCACATAACGTTTTATTTTTCGAAATGCTCGTACAACTCTTCACAAATCATCTATAAATACGTCTGAATGTGCTATTGGTTACCGATTGGTAGAGTCGACAAGTCGACATGAATTTTACATGCATAATGAAGGTCAATGCATCATTAACATGCATATAATCACCTGATATATGAACGTATGGAGAATGCTGTCAACAATTCTGGTTACACTGAAATGTAATTCATGTAAAACTGCGACAGGAATGTATCCGACAATGTGGTTATCGTATATGTCTTCTCCGGGTCACCACTTCAACCGTAATAAAACAAAAGCACAAGATAGCTGGGTTTATATACATTGGAGAAAAATAATCTTTGCATAAAATTTTCATCACAAGAAACTTTAATCTGTCTGAGAACATATATTGAAGCATTTAAAATACTTATTCACTTGTAATACCAACATGCGGTTTATGCGGATTTGGTCGGGATCAATAACGTCAATTTTTAAAATTTCAGCCATTTATTACATGGCCTACATCATATCAACCATTATTTATGCCGCGTAATGTGGTGAGTAACGTGCGTCAATACAGCATGGGAACCGATACCGTGTCAGCATCTGTGAGGGGGTCAATATTTGCTGCAGGGGGTGACATGGCTCGGCCGAAGACCTGGATAGATGAACATAGCTGATATCAGCTCCCCCACCACCATACACACTCCTCTCCATTTCTTATCTAGAGGTCCGTTGAGATGCAAGGATGACGACTAACGTATAGGCGATACTGTTAAAAACATCACCGCGCAAACAGAGCCGATTGTTTATCGCCTTACCCAGACTGAGGGCAGGGCATGCTTTGTCCCCAGAACGCGGAGACACTTTAACAAAGGAAGGGGGTCATGTCAGGTGGAAATGAGTGTTGGTTTCTCGTCCCAGCATCTTTCAAAACACTAAGGCAAAAGAAAGTTAACCTACAGCACACCATCTACAGGAGATATATTCTATCGAGCTGCAGCACACACTACGCCATATATAGGATATCAAGCCAACACACCTACAGCATTTATTATAGTCCACAACGTTTTACATTCCATTTACTTACATCATACCGTCTACATCAGCTATATTCTGTCTGACTACAGCGAACCGTCGACAAAAGGTTATATAGATACGCTACATACTAATATTGAGAAAGGTAAATACATTAAAAGTCTTTGAGATTACCACCCTGCTTCGTTTCGGGTGACTGATTATTCATTCTTCTCAGTAATGCCGCGTGGGGAAAAATGGTCGATATTTTTCATAGGGGTCGCTACAGGCGATCTGCAGCTAATGACAAGTCAAGTAGGCGAAGTCAGGGATTATTTCATACTCTATGGATGTTGCTTTAATGTAGAACCAAAACACCCTCAATCCCCAAGGGTCATTGTGGGTCAAATTAAAGGTGCTAGATGTCGGGTATCTAGCAACTGGCCACATGTATCTGTGTGTGTCGCGCCTCCAGCACGCGCAACGTATTGTAGGCATCACAAGGCCATGGCGTCAGCCACTCCCGCCGACAGTACCCGACAACCTGGCTGCAGTCCCCGCCACCAAGTGGCGCAGGTCAAAGTAGCCGCCACCCAGCCTCCTTCATGCAAGTATTTCATGCTTGAAATTCAAATCTTATTTGAATAATATTGAAAAGACTCTATTTCTGTGTGAAAAATCAATAAACTCGGCCCATCTGACTCGA